GGAGATGGGGACCACAGAAGTTATGCTCTCATTGTCCCCCGAGGCGGTGGCTAAGGGGATGACCTATAAAGGTGTGCTGCTGAGGGCGAAAGAAGAGGTGAACTTGTCGGAGCTAGGCATTCCGGGAGTGAGGTTTGGAGTGGCGGCCACGGGCGCAAAGCTGCTCAAAATCCCGGGCAATAAGAGTGACGAGCAGGCCGACAAATTAGCCGATAAATTGAGGAGTGTCTTCGGCGATGAGGTTGGGGTCTCAAGACCCATCAAACGTGTTGATCTGCGCCTGACGGATCTTGAAGACTCTGTTACATCGGACGAAATAAAGTTGGCTGTGGCCAATAAGGGTGGGTGTCCTGCGGACAGCATTAGAATGGGCCCGATTTTGGAGGGGGTGAATGACCTGAATGTAGCTCTTATATGGTCCTTTCCAAACAGGCGAGAGCGCCTTGCGCAGTCTCAAATGGTTTTTCAGATACACAAAATCTCCGGTTTTATACGTACTATATATATACGACTGGGCGTGTACGGGTATCGTAGTAAGTTTTTAATGATTCCTTCGATCTTCTAATTAATTCCAAGGCTCTTTCTCGTGAATATTTGAGACGATTTTGGAGCATACGCACATAATCGGGGTAAGTAGTTTCGGGAGAATCGGTGTAGATGGAATTTGGAATGAATGATTTGTTTCCAAACATCAATTCATAAGGCGTGAAGTTGGTGGTTGAATGGGTAGATGTATTATAAGCAAGCATGGCTGTGTAAACATAACGCGGCCAATTGGTTTGGTCCTCGTTGATGTACGACATTAGGTACTCTTTCAGTGTCGAATGACTTCGCTCTAAGGCGCCTTGTGTTTGTGGGTGATATGGGGAAGACCACAAATTTTTAATTTTAAGGAAGTGACAGGTCTTTTTAAATAGGTCGGAGGTAAAGTTAGTACCCTGGTCAGTGAGGATGAATTTTGGGATACCGAAAATTGATATATAATGTATTAAACATTCACTGATTTCTTCTGCCGTGGTGCTTCGGATCGGATAAGCGGATGAAAATTTTGTCAAGTCGTCTTCTATCGTCAAAATAAATTTTAATTTTGCAGGTCCGGCTTTAGGGAGCGGCCCCACGACATTAAGGGAACTTCGCTGACACGGGGCAGTAGAGGTAGACGTTATTTGCATAGGAGCTTTATTAATTTTCCTTAACGCTTTATTTTCTTGACACTGTTTACATTGTTTTACGTAATTTTTTTTGTTTGTGCGCATACCTTTCCAGTAGTATTGTTCCTTTATTTTATTATACATACGAGTAGACCCCAAATGGCCTGCAACTGGAATGTCGTGGTTTTCGTATAGAATCTTTTTTATCTCGGTTGGTGTTGGGTATGTAATATTATGTATTATGATAAATGTTGACTGTAATATTCGTATCGTGGGAAAGATATAGTATAATGTTGTATATTTTAGTGAAGGAATGTACTTCAAAGGCATTTCTGAAGTCTGGGATACTAACATCAGTTACGTCTTCTGTAGTGAGAATCGTGTCACGTGCTTGTCTAATGGTATTGAATATTTCGGGGTATGAGGCTACGTCAAAATGGTTTACTCTTGTATATAAAAGGAAATAAGTTTTATTGTTTAACTGGATTCTACTATGGGAATAGAGTTCCTTTTCAGTTTCTAATATTTCGTCGAGATTTCCTAGGTTGCCCAGGATTTCTTGGATGTACGGGTTTGATTCGTCGAGATCAATTGAGGTAGGTATGAGGACTATTTTTGATTTACTTTTTGTGAGATCCTCATTATACTCAATAATTTGGGTGTTTAGAGGTTCTTTTTTGTTAATGGTTTTCAGGTATTCGGAGTAGTCACCAGTAAATATTGGTGAATTGTGTGAAGAGGGAGATGGCTGAATAGGTAAGGATAAGGAGTCAACCTCCGGTAAATTATTAGATTCTACAGGTGATCTAGAAAGAGAGGGGTTTTCATCTGTGGCTGGACTATAGGATGTTGATGGTAAGTTACTATTTTCTAGGAGACCAACAGACGGTAAGTCGTCGTTATCTAAGTTAAGAGGGCTAAATGGAAGGCTGACATCAACGTCTAAATCGCCTAATGTAATGGGACTAAATGCTGGTGATGATTCCTGATTAACCGGGTTAAGGTTGGGCATGTCAAGAATTGCGGTATCTTGGGATGAGGTGGATCTTATTATGGGATCCACTCCAGTAAGTACTACGTCTCGTACTGTGGAAGGGTTCTGAATATATTCTTGATTCGGAGTTACGTTAGGACTTGCATCATTTGTGACTGGCTGGACAGGGTTCACAGGGAACCGAGATAAAGCATCGGCGTTAACATTCATTTTTCCTTTCTTATATTGTATATCGTATTCAAATTCCTCTAGTTTAAGACGCCAACGAACTAGTCGTGAACCAGGACCTTTACAGTTAAATAGCCACTGAAGAGGTTTATGATCGGTGATGATTCTAAATTTATTTCCATAAAGGTAAGGCCGGAAGGTTTTTGTACCGAAGACTATTGCCAAACATTCCTTATCTGTCACGCTGTAATTGTTTTCTGCCTTGTTCAAAGTGCGTGATGCAAATGCGATTGGGCGGCCTTGTCCTACTGGACCTTGAGATAAAATCGCTGAGATAGCGTAGTTTTAGGCGTCGCAGGTAAGGAGAAATGGTAAGGTAAAATCTGGGTACGCTAATATAGGTGCTGATATAAGTTTATTCTTTAGAGTTTCAAAGGAGAGTTGGTGTTCATTGCACCATTCGAATAAGACGTCTTTTTTTAATAAAGATGTGAGTGGTTTAGCCAGTTTGGCAAAATCTGGTATGAATCTACGGTAGTAAGATATGAGGCCTAAGAAGGATTTTATATCCTTTGGAGATTGGGGAATCGGGAATTCGTTGACTGCTTTGGTTTTTTCTTGGTTAGGACGAACGCCATCTTCGCCAATTATGTGACCCAAGTAGGTTACTTCCTTGCGAAAGAATTCACATTTTTCAGGTTTTAATTTCAGATTGAAACTGCATAATCTATCGAAGACAGCTTTTAAATTAGAGATATGGGATTTTAGATCAAAAGAATAGATAAAGATGTCGCCTAAATAGACGAAATACCGTGTGCCCTGAAGGCCTGAGAGACAATTATTCATTAACTTCTGAAAGGTTGAAGGGGCGTTCTTAAGTCCAAATGGCATTCGGTTGAAATGGAAGTGACCCTGAGGTACGGAAAACGCAGTGTTCGGTGCGTCCGTAGGTGCGATGAGGATTTGGTGGAAACCGGAAATAAGGTCTAAAGTAGAAAAGTATTTACTGTTACCGAGCTGGTCGAGAATTTCTGCAATCTGTGGAATAGGATAGGTTTCACCGATAGTTATATCGTTGAGCTTACGGTAGTCGATGACTATGCGCCATTTTCGTCGACCTGATGAATCTGCCTTTTTCATCACGACCCAAATGGGTGAACTCCATGGTGAAAAGGAAGGTTCTATAATACCTTGATGTAGCATGTCGTTAATTTGGTTTTCGACCTCTTTCTTGTGACACTCAGGAAAGCGATATGATTTGGTATGGATGGGAATATCACTACTAGTTTTAATTTGGTGAGTTAGAGTAGAAGTAAAAGTGAGTTGATCATCAGCCAGGTGGAAGATATCAGAATATTGAGAGCAAAGTTCCAGTAAACCATCGGTTTCTTCTTTGTTCAAGTGAGCGGTTCTTAAGGAATCGATAACCTTTTGAGTTCTGGGAGAAGAATTAGTCATTGTGTTCATTTGAAATGCAATTTGATCTAAAGGTTCTATGGCAAGGTTAAGATTTGGGTTAAAGTTGACAGGGGATTCGGAGATGTTGGCAATAGTTAAATTTACGCGATTGTTGTTTTTGATCTTTACTATACAATTAGATATTAGTAAGTTTTCTGATACATGTTGGTCTATCACAATTCCTTCTTTTAGTTTAGTATTTTTTACTGAGCATTCGATAACAGTTTCGGTACGAGGCGGAATAATGTAGTATGGATCAAAGAAGTGTAGTTTGATATCTACCTTTCCTATTTTCAGAATATCATGCGTATAATCGATTTTGCAACCAAAAGCTGTGAGAAAATCTGTACCTATGATTCCATCATAAGGTAAGTCAATATTTTTTACTATATGGAACATAAATGGGGTTAATTAATTTTCTTTTAACTCTAATTTTAAATTAAAATGACCTTCTGTCAAAGTTGGTTACTCGCCTGTATCTATGCTCTTAAGTTTAATTTTTTCTTTAATAATTTTTGGGGATACTGGATTGTTTTAGTAAACATATAGAAGAACCTGAATCTACTAAAAGAGAGAGAGGGATTTCTGAAACTTGTGAGTTAAGGACTACGTGTGGTAAAAGTTTTTTGGTTGTGTCTAGGTTGACTTCGTATATTTTTATACTGTTGAGAATGGATTTTGAGGACTGGGCGCTTGTTTGGGGCTGGTTACCCGAGTGTTCCCTATTATCTGAAATTTGGGCACTTATTTGGGGCTGGTTACCCGAGTGGTCCCTAATTTACATGGATTGGGCGCTTGTTTGGGGCTGGTTACCCGTGTGATCCCTATAGTTCATGGATTTAGAATTGGTGTCATTGGATAAATTAGGCGATTGAAGAATTTTGGGTCTCGCGAGACACCGCCGGGAGCCCTTCACAAGTTTAAATTAGTTTAGTTGTTGTCAACTTCGTCATGACCAACCTCGTCGTTTTGTAGTTCGACGTAGTTTATGCGTCTGTAAGTGGTTTGACTGGTAGAGGCGTTTTGAGAAATTTTGAAACGGTTGTTATTTTATTCCCGTTTCTTACAGATATTTATGTCATGGCCTACAGTTTTGCAGTATTTACAAAAAGGTTCTGATGATGGGGACAAAGAATGGGATGATCTTTGCGAGACGGAGTAAAATGAGGTCTGACTGAAGGTCCAGGCCTGAAGCGATTATTGTTGCTGGTGTTTTTTTTTTTTTTTATTCATGCTGACTTGGTCTTAGTATATGGTCCTGAATATTGTGCTTTAGATCCCCCTTGTGAGGGGGAATCGTACCAACCCCTGACTAGCAGGGGAGGCGCGGAAGAGAAGGGGAGGAGAACGGAGAACTTCTCGATGGACCCTGAAGCTCCTCCACCGGGATAGGAAATAATATATATTATATAATGGGATGAGAGATATACTAAATGAAAACATATAGAGTGAATAGGATATATATGATGCCGCGAGAGGGGTCCCCCCGCCGCCCGACGGTCCCTTCCGAGAGAGAAGTGGTCAGGGCCGCCGGGCGCCGGAGGCACCCCGACATCGATGAAATATAGGATGAAAAATGAAGAGTCGGAAGGTCTCGGAAGCCGCCCCCCCGCCCCGCGCCCACCCCCGCAAACGGCAGCGGCCGCGGTGCCGGGGGGCGATCCCAGAGTCCTCCCGAGGTGAGAGCGGGGGGGGCGACCGAAGTCGCCTTCGCTGCGCCGCTCGCAGGACGACCGCAGAAAGCTACAAGGTGGTAAAAAACGATGTAGAGAAATCCCGCAGTTCGCGCAGAACCGGGGAGTCTTTTTCCCGCCTCCCGAAGAAAGGGAGGGGTCGATGGTCGCCCTGTAAGAGAGATGGGTTAATACCAGGGTCGCCGAGGGTCGCCTCCCCGTCCCGCCCCCGCCGCGCACAGGGTGCGGCGGTCGCCGGACGAGGAGGCGAGTAGGAGGTCCTGGTCATAACGCGAAAAATGGCCGAAACGGGCCCGTCGACTACGCGATGACCGGGCTTACGATTTAGCCCGGTGTTGAGGCCTCGGCTCAGATGGGATGTCGTTGAGAGTCCGAGGGGGCCACGTGCGGGCTTGATGGTAAATCGGGTCCAGCAAAGGCCCGGATAGGTCCGAAGACGGATCCTAGTTGGAGTGAAGCTACTGACACGAACGAGGTGTTGCAAGTGCACCGAATGTGCGTTCGCGTTTGTCGAAAGCGAGCCGCTCTGCCCGTCCGCCCGAGGCCCAACCCCGCCGCCCAGAGCGATCATGTGCCCCGGGGTCGGGCCCCGGCCGGAGGGGCGCGCGGATCGTATCAGATTGATGTTTCAGACTGGCTGCGCAGACCAGTTTGTCGTCGGTGGCATTGATGAATAACCAATGCGATTACGGATCAGATGGATGGATGTGATACAATACAATGTAGGTTACGATATTATTAAGCCGGATCTATATCGACAGATATAGATCCGGCTTAATAAACTAGGTGGTAGACTTGATTAAACAATAATGTAGTGAATCATTGATTACGGTGAGCGTATGCTAAATGTTGATTAGCCTGTATATAAACCAAGCGATGGAAGTTGCGGATTGACTCGATATAAACATGTGAGATTGAGTGTTGATAGTACGCTAGTGCGATACAGACTAGAGAAAATCGTTAGAGTTGGCATAAATTTCGTTCGTTGGTTGATTGTAGGTGATTGATGTGGCGGTAGGTTGTTAGGTTTTTTTTTTTTTTTTTTTTTTTTTTTTTTTTTTGTTATGCCAACTTGCAATAACAAGAATGTTTTTAATCCGTTTGGATGTACAAAAGGGTTGATTTAACAGCATTTAGATGTAACACATGGTCGATACGTGAATGACTAATTTAACAATGGTTAGCTTACAGACTATTAATATAATAATTTTGTTGGTGTACGTACGATAGTATACTAAGATGTGGCTTTATACATCGAGATATTAAAATATGAGTGATCAAAAGGATAATTGACTCTTAAGAAATATAATCTACTAAACTTAAATAACAATATGGTTATATGATTGTAGACTTGCAATAGCAAAATGAAATAAACTAAAATTAAGTAAACTTGTGCATTGTTGTATGAGCGTTATAACGATTGAATATTATTAACAAGAGTGATATAAAACATGATTGTAACATATGAGCAATAGACAAAAGCGATTGACTCTTAGAGAGTATAATTTACAAGTGATATATGGTTGTGTGATTGTAAACTTAAAATAACAATAGAGACTTAGTAACAATTGAACGAATGATTATAGAATGACTGATCAACAGAGTTAAACTCTTAAAGGATATAATCCGCTAACGTGATATATAGTTGTATGATTGTAAACTTACAATAACAGAATAAAATAAGCTAAAATTGAATAGACTCGTACATTGTTGTATAAACATTATGACGATTAGACATGGTTGCGATAACATGTGTATGATCGACGAGAATGGTTGACTCTTAGAGAGTACAATTAACTGACGTGATATATGATTTACAATGATAATAGAAAACTTAACAATAACATTAATAACCTAGAGATAATGTGTTGGTGTTTGTTAATCGGACTGTTGATTGCTTGTTCGTTTACACTAAAGACTAAACCTAAATGATTGATTATCTACAAGATGGCGATCGCTCGTTTGCGTTGCGCTTGCTGGCTGGTATTTTGCGTGATCGATGATTGACATAAAAAAGGTTGACGTATTCGGCCGTGGCGAGTGTGCTGATCCGTATGGCAACGGCCGGCCGAAATCAGGATCGCCACGTCGAGGCGGCGGTGGGTGCGTAGGACGCGTGTGAGTGTAGGCGTGTGATGAGTCGGTGCTCGTGTGTATACATGTGTGTGATGATGCTCGCGTTCCTGCGCATCCTCAGAGGCCAAACCCACCAACCTCCCATGGCCTGACGCAACCATCTTGGTTATACAGGCCGAAGCAGCGGGAGATGCGCGCGGAATGGCCTCCACCGCGCGCACTACTTCACTCCCTACAAATTATTTCTAGATCTTTCTCCTTTGTCCCTATGGTCCCTCTCCCCATTCTGGGGCGGACGTACACGATAACGCCTTCGGTGCCTTCCAGGTCGCCCCGTGCCCACTATGAAGTGGTTCCGCTGGCCTCCGTTCGCAGTCCTCTTCTTTCTTCGCCTCGGGTCTTCGCCTCTCTCTCTAGGCCACTCCGAATCTTGTGCCACTCACGCACGAAGTCCCGTAGCCGCCTGAAGTTCACCTCGGATCCCACGAGGTCCGCAAAGTTGGGTTCGTACCCCAGCACTCTTCCCTCGACGCTCGCGGGGGGACGCAGTTCTTCCGGACACCTCGCCCTGATCTCGGCCGTATAAAAATAGTACGGCTTAGGGAAATGAGGGTGTTGATTATCGAACACATAATTGGGATGTGTTCTTTTGTAATGGCGGCTAACGGGGTGCGACAGGACGCTCCCGCACAGCACGCACTGCCTGGTCCTCATGCCGGGCCGATTTTTGAGTAAGGTGTACGTCTTCCGGTCGTGATTCTCGACGAACAAGCGGCATTCTTCAGTGATGCTGGGGTACACCGACGGGGCGTTCTGTGGCCGGGGACCGGGGCGCCTCTCGGCCCGTCTCCCGTCACCGCGCCCGCGCCCGCCGCGACGAGGTGCGGGCGCGTCTCGGTCGGTTGCGGCGATATCGCCATCGCTCGCGGGGATCGCGACCGCCGAGGCGGACGCCGGCGCGGATGGCGGAGCGGGGACGAGGGCGCCCGCCGCGGAGACGGCGGCCGCCGCGTGCTCGGCGAGGTAAGTGGTGATATCGAATACGGGGGCGCCGAAGATCGCGGCCGCCGACGCCGCCGCGAACGACGGCGGCTCCGCGAGGGTGGAGGAAGAAGAAGAAAGTTGCGGCTGAGGTTGAAGTCGAGGCAGAGTGACGGCCCCTTTCGGCTTCTCCTCCGGCGTGGTCGTCGACTCCGTGAAGATTAACGTCGGCCAGCCGGAGGAAGGCGACGGCGTCAGTGTGTAAAGGCCGAGATAGGCGTCCATTTCCGATTTGTCCACCTCCATGTCGTCGGCCTCCCGGTCGGTGGTCACACCGGAGGTCGGAGGGAGGGCGGCGTCGCTCGCGGGCCGAGCAAAGTGGACAGAGTCGAGATCGAGGGTAGCGATGACGTCACGGTCGTCGGAGGAAACGGCAGCGGCAGCGGCAGCGGCGGCGGCGGCGGCCGCGGCGTCGTCGTGGCGGTCAGCGGTGATTCCGGTCGCGTCGGCAGCGACGGCGACGGCCCGGGGTGCATCCTCCGGGACGGGGTCCGTCGCCTCGATGGTAGTAGAGACGGAGGGCTTCGCCGGAGAATCGGCGGCGGCGGCCCCGCTCGCGTCGATAAGTTCGCGCTCCCTCTCGGTCGTCCCGCCGAGGAGAAAATCTCTCGCCGCCTCCAGCGCGAGTGACGCGAGACTGGGTGCCTCGCGTTTGATCCGTCGTGTCCGCCGTCGCTCCGGCGAAAGCTCGACGGGTGGAGGAGAAGGCGACGGCGGAGGCGACGGCGGCGGCGACATCTTGGGCGCCTCCGCGCGGCACTCGCGCGCGTCCGTCGCGCGATTCCGGTCCGCGTTCGAGTCCTCGCGAAAGGAATGCGCGTCGCGATAGTCCTCGCCGAGGACGCGAATCGATCGCTCGATGTGATGTAAGTGTTCGTCGTGCGCCCTCCGTCCGTCGAGTAGTCCCTCGTGCTGCCTCCTCGCGACGCGGATCATGCCGCGTATGAGTGTCGATATAGTTCGGTTCGCGGGAAGCGCGCGCGCGGCGCGGTCTAGGACGTCGTCCAGCAACCGGGCTCCCGGGCACTCGGTTTCGCGTTCCGTGCCGGGCGTCGGCGCCCCGTCGCATAGAGGAATCGAAGGGACCTCGTCGTTTGCCCCGTTCATATCGCCTTTCGCGCTACCGTGATCGCGATCGTAATTAGTAGCTGAAACTTCGTGACGCACGGCGTCCGATCGCGAGGTGTGTCTCCTGAGAACTGAACGTGCGGTGGGGCGCGGGAGGGGTGGGAGCGCGCGTCCCGAGATACGCACGAATCGCCGGGAAGCGCAGCAGGGCGATCGGTGATTGGGCGACGCAGCGCTGACGTGTAGCGATTGCGAGGTTCCGAGAGAACGTGATCGCTATTGTTCTCCTATCGTTCAGGTGCGTCCCTATTGTCTCTGGTGGCTATTGTTGTCGTTATCGGTGTTGCTAACCGACTCGCGTCGATTGACATTTTCCGGTGCGGTGGTTGATCTCGCTAATGTTTGGTAGTTTGCGCTGGCTCTGTTCGTTCCGTCGAATGGTGATCCAGCGTCGAGGTCGAATCCGGGACGCGACGACGCTCGAGTCGGTGTCCGAGACGAGAACGAGGATGAAAACGAACGTTGCGAGTGAGGGCGGTGATGGTTTTGACTTTGACCGCATCGGTGGCTGTCGCCGCGACGACCCGGCGTCGTCGTCGAGCCGACGGCGATGCGCGCGTTCGAGCCCGAGCTCGAGCTGTAGAGACGCCGCCGTCGTCGCCGCTGTTGACGCGAATATAGGTCGCCGTCCGAGTCGAGGTCGTGATCGGAACGACTATGACCGTGATGGGATCGATGAGTGCGGAGGCGGAGCCGATCGCTGCGACGCGGGCGGGGCGGGTCGTCAGTTCCGTCCCCGCCGCTCCCGGGCGGGGAAGGCGGCGGCGGCGGCGGCGAGGAGGAAGAGGAGGAGGAGTCGGTCGTCGACTCCGCGAGTCCGCCGCCGTGTTCGTTGAACGTTCTCAGTTCGGTGTATATCTTCCTGACGAACGTTGCCAATTTTTTGGCGAGTTCCTCGCCCTTGCGGTGGCCGGCGAACGTTCTAGGTTCGAATGGATCGTCCGACCCCAGAAACCGACATTCCTGCACGTAATCCCTCCTCGAGTCCTGAAATCGGGTGCACTCCTTTAGTAGATGGTCAGGTGTTTGTCGGCCGCCCGTCCCGCAGGGGCATCTATCGGTGTCGGCTATCCCGAACCGCGCTAAGTATTCCAAGTGTGCACCGTGTCCGGAGAGAAATTGTGTGGTGTGAAAGTCATTCTTATGTAGTTTCCTATATGTCAGGAGCTCCCCGAGGGTGGGGAATAATTCCCTGGTTCTGGCCCCCGTGTCGGCGGTCTCGTATCTATCGCACCACTCCCTCATAGCTATCTTTTTGGAGTGGTTCTTGACGGCCGACATGGGGGCGGCCTCGTACGACAAGGGAAGGAGATGATTTCTGGCCGCCCTTTTCGCCGCGGCGTCCGCCAGCTCGTTGCCGATGATTCCTTGTGTGCCGCCACCCATGCCAGGCTGACCGGAGGGCCGTGAACGGGAGCGCGCATGAGTCCTCGATGTATGCGATGTATGATGGGATGCGTCGAGCTCCTGTTCTGCATCGCCATAAGCGTGGACAGCGAGTCCGAGCAGACCCACGCGGGGCGCCCCGACTCGGCCACCGCTGCGGCCAATTCGCAGGCGTTCCCCAGGGCGAACGCTTCCGCCTGGAAGTTGGAACAGTGATAGCCGAGGCGGTACTCCCGCACCCCGCTGAGACTGAGGGCAGGGGCCGGAGGCCGGCCGGGCGCGGGATCGAGGTCGGGATCCGGCAGCGGCGGTGGCGGCCACGGAGTCGGCGGCGGGGCGAACCGCGTCGACGCCCCCCGCGCCTCGAATCCGTGCCGTGGGAGGATCGTCATCGCCCCGCCGCTCGGATGCCAAGCGGTGCGAGAGCAACGAGATTCTCGCCGAGTCCACCTCCGCCACCCTGGCGACCTCGATGTCGAGAGGGACGAAGCCCGCCAGGGCGCAGGCGGCCACCGTGAACGGTCCGGTAGCCCCTGATCGCTCGGATGGCGAATCCTCGCTGGGCTGCGAGCAATTTGTTCTTGTGGGTCGCCACCCGAGCCGCCTTTCCCCAGATCCCGGCCGCGTAGGTGAAGGTGGGCGTTATCGCGTATCTGTAGATCGTCTCTACTATGTCCGTGTCGAGTCCCCACGAGGGGCGCGCGAACAGGCTCAGGCGTTGGTAGAGTCTCTGCGCCTTTTTTATTACATAGTTCACGTGTTCGCCGAACTTGAGTCGGTTGTCGACGATGACGCCCAGCAGTTTCATGTGGGGAGAGAAAGTCACCGGCCTGCCTCCCATGTTTATTCTGGCGCGCGCCGCCTTCGGGGAGAAAGCCAGGGCCTTCGTCTTGTCCGCTCCGAAGGATAATTTGTTATCGATCCCCCAGCGCTCGATCGCTCTCAGACACGCGTTCGTGTCGGCCTCGAGCCGATCGGTGTCCCGGGCCGAGACGATGAGGAGGACGTCGTCCGCGTACGCTTGTAGACGGGCGTCACCCGGGAGGTCCATCTTCAGCAGTGGATCGAGGACCATCTTCCACATGGAGGGGCCGCACACCGATCCCTGCACGCAGCCCCTGCTCATCCTCTTGACGGCGGTCGCGCCGGCGTAGTTCAGCAGTACCCTCCTATCGTCGAGGTAGCTGCGGATGAGCCGGTACAGGTTCGCCGGGCACCCGGCCCTCGCCAGGTTGTTCAGCATGGCGGGCCACCATGCCGAGTTGAAGGCGGCCTTGATGTCCAGCGAGACCGCGATGCAGGGTCTCCCGCGACGTCTCGCCGCCTCGATCTCGTCCACGGCCGCCTTCAGGGTGTCAGCTTTTCTTAGTTTTCTTAAATTTATAGGTCTAACTGTGTATTGATTATAAAATTATAGCCCAAATATTTGTTATATCAATTATTGTATCAAAATATTTACTGATATTTACATAAATTATGTTAACAATTGTAAATTAATATTCTTCGAAACAAATAAAATGTTACTGGTGTAGTGTGTGTACACACACACTCATCACTCCTCATTATATATAAGCCAATGTAAACGTAATTAAAGACATTATTATTATAATCGCAGTCAGACTATCATTTATACACCCGAACCGCCAACATTGCACTGGTAATATTTATTTGTGTAGGTAGAAGTAAATTAAAGTAAGTAGAAAAATGTATAAAAACGAGGAATTATTGTTAGTTCGGGTCAGTCTGGCTGTGAACGTTGAGGAGTTGCTACCTGTACCTAAGTTAAGCTGTATGTGAAATAGTGAAATACAGTGTGGAAATTATTGTCATTGCCTTTTCATTGGGACATTCTCAAGTTATAAACCTCCAGAAGACAACATGTCAGAAGTGGGATCCCAAACGTAAGTAACTTTAAATTTGGATATTGTATTGATCACAAACTTCAACCAAATAATCTTAGACTGTTTCATTGAAAATCATAAATTTAAAATGTTTCTAATACGACAATCATCTTGTTGAAATATTTTCTGTACTGACATTCGTTCAGGGCTACTCTCTGATAATGTCGGTATGGGGTATTGCACAAAAGGGAAGATGAAACGTTTAATGTCTGCGATGGGTGTATTGTGGCGCTAATATTTGGTTGAGGCTACTCTTCAACATTATTAGCGTTACAGTTTTGTGATACTTAAGCTCGATCGGGGCAACTCCCCGATAGTTTTAGCGTTGCATACTCTTCGCGGTTTTAAACATTTTAATAATTCTACATGAGTGTATAACGTACATAAAATATATTATTACCTATCCACCTATTATAAGTTATATTACCTAACTATATATTATGTCGCTAATATGACTATCGCCTTGTTGTAATATTGTCTGCACTGACATTAGTTCGGGGCTACTCTCTGATAATGTCTGTGCAGGGTATTGCATAATAAGGACAACTAAATGTTTGATATTTTCTTGGAGTGAATTGTGGCGCTACTTGGTTGAGGCTACTCTTCAACACTATTAGTGCTTCAGTTTTGTAATGCCGATTCTCGATCGGGGCAACTCCCTGATGCGATAGTTTGGGCATTGCATACTCTTCGCAATTTTAAACATTTTAATAACCATACACGAGTGTATAGTGTACATAGAATATATTATCACCTACCCACCTTATTATAAGTTATATTACCTAATTATATATTGGGTTGGCACAAAAGTAATGAGACACACTAGAAAAATCTATAACATTTCCTTTTTAAAATCAATTTTTTCGATAATATTCTAGAATGTTGTAGAACATTCTAGGTACTTCTGGTGTAGGGTATATAAAGCCGCGTTCGCGATTTGTTTAGTCAGTTTGAAGAAAAATGGACGAGCGACAAGTTCAAACACTATACTTATACGAGTACTTGTTAGGCCACAGTGCGCAGGCTGCGGCTGACAATATCAACAATGCATTAGGCGCTGGAAGTACAAGCCATGCGACGGTGTCCCGATGGTTTGACCGTTTTAAATCAGGAGACAGGAGCCTTGAAAGTCAGCCACGCTCAGGGCGACCACCCGCAGTGAATGATGACGATTTGCGCCGCGAACTGCAGTTGAATCCGGATGCTACCACTCGTGAATTAGCGGAAGCACTTAAATGCAGTCACCACGCCGTGGAACACCATCTGCATGAGCTTGGTTATCGAAAAGTTTTGGCTCGGTGGGTACCGCACATCCTTACAGATGCCAGTCGTGCAGTCCGTGTCGCTATCTGTCAGTCACTTTTGCTGCGACCCCGACGTAAAGAGTTTTTGTCAGATCTGGTTACTGGAGATGAATCCATGGATTTATTACGAGAACGATACACGTCGTGCTTTTTGGCTGCCTCGAGAAGAAACGCCACCAACTCAACCGAAGCCGAGTCAAAAGAACCGCCGAAAAATGCTGCTTTGCTGTTTCTGGGATGCGCAAGGCATACTGTTTTATGAGCTATTACACAATGAAACTATAAACGCTGACAAATATTCAACCCAGCTTACCAAATTATCTGCCGCTATCAAGAAAAAACGACGAAGACGAGTCAATGTAGTTTTACTGCACGATAACGCTCGACC